GGGTTTAGGGTTTCGGGGTTTGGGGTTTAGGGTTTAGGGTTTCGGGGTTTAGGGTTTAGGGTTTAGGGTTTTCGGTTTAAGTTTTAGGGTTTAGGGTTTAGGGGTTTCGGGGTTTGGGGTTTAGGGGTTTCGGGGTTTGGGGTTTGTTGTTCTTCTGTGGTGGCTCGCGATGTACTTTGCAAGCTGTGCTGTTTCAGCATGGCTCCAACTCCAACCTCTGGCTGAGGTCTCCGCCGCTACATCCCAAGGCGGGGCGTTTTTTGGAGGATTGCCAGTGAGTGTAAACAGAAGCCACAGAAGTCTAGGACAGTATCAGGTGGGTAGTTACCGTTATAGGAGCCCTATATACCCCAAACTCCCCACTTGTACTTTCCTTTAAAGAAGTGCAGGTCCAGGAGCTGCACACTGCTATTCCTGGAGATCCGGACTATTCGAGACACCGGATGCAGTCGCCCAGCTGGTTCTGGAGACCCTTAGACTCTTCGACGCCTCGTCACGTTAGTCGCGTTTCAAGCTTGACGCGCGGTCATTGTCTTCGACTCGAGCTAGGACGGGCCAGAGTTCAGATTTGTGCTTTTCCGCTTGGTAGCCCAAGTTGTTGAGGCTCTCTCGATCAGCCGAGCCCCACGTGCTGGCAGGGAATCCCAGTCAACGGTGTCGCGTGGAGCTTTCTGCTTGACGGAAGAAGCTTTGCAACTCGCTGCTACCCATGACCCTGAAATTGCTCCAAGTGTTTCTGTGTGGATTAGGTGGTAGATCGGAAGCTCGGTCTTTCCACGAAGTAAGACCAGTGTGAAGCTTCTTCCCAGGAGGCCACCGTGACTTTGGACTTGGCAGCTGGGTCACGGCCTGCTGGTGTGGGAGGCCCGAGGGCTCACGTCGATCTCAAGATATCTCAAGTCCTCAATGCATTTGGCAATAGTATCCCCGCATAGTCCCGCTACGACGTGCCGCTACGACTACAGTAAAATATCGGCATATCTCATATTCTATCTGGGTTGCAGATGCTAATGCGCTTGCATCGGATGACAATATGCCAGTGCCATGTGCCTGTTCAGATGCGCAGGCTTCTTCCAAACAGCGAAGCACCGCGCCGAATTCAAGCAGCATGCTGTCCTGGCCTCGCACGGCAGTTTCGAAAGTAGCTTGCTCCATGGTGTTTGTGTTCCGAGTGCTGCAACCACATTTCTGCACATGCGTAGTAAGGCGTAGTAAACTGGTGCGCTGGCTGTGATGCGGATTGGCAGAATGCTCGCAGCCGCAGTGTGGGGTGTGAGTTGAATCAACCGACCTTAGCAGCAGCATCGCAAATCAGCATGATTGGAAAGGCATGGCTCTTCTCCTGTGAAGAACGGATCTGGACCGTAGGCAAACGGCAAGTTGGGCTGCATACGTCTTGTATGCGACGTGCCAAGGTCGTAGGCCAGTTCTCGAACGAAGTTCCCTCATCGCACCTTGACTTGAAATGGAAGAGGCTCAGGGCCTAGGCGCTTTGAGCATGCTGCCCCTGAAGCAGCAGGTTGCTTCGACTCGAGAGACCCGTGTATTTTGTCATGTGGTTTCGCTTGCCTTCACCCCTCGTCAGGATGCCTTCCAGAAGTTCATGGGCTAGTAGATACCAATCAGATGAACATATTCTTGACTTACCATGTCGGCGAATAAAAGTTGTCATATCCATCCAACAAGACTGAGCATAAAGGCTCAAACAAGCACATGACAACAGCGTAGGTCAGATCTCGATCTCGTCGTGTAACTTCGCCCACTGCCGTCACCGTTGCTCTGTTGATTCACCGCAGGCACACTTTGTCCTTAAGATCGGAGCCTTAAAAAATTACCTATGCTATTTTGGGGGCTCCTTATTATAACTGCAGTATAATAATACCCCCAAACCCCATTCTAATTACATTAAGCGTTCCAGAGTCTCTAGGAAAGCACAGGGAAACCCGAAGTCCTCTGCGCTTCGCGAGGATTCCACAGACTCGGAAAGCTTTCCAGCTGCGGCCTCGGATTGTCTTCTTTAGGGTTTAGGGTTTAGGGTTTAGGGTGCATCGTAGTGGTAGTGGTTGGGAGGCAGCCTGGGGAAGCAATTTGCAATAAATTCCTGCAACTACCTATGCGGAACCGGCCAGTCAGCGCATACCTCTTCGAAAGCAGGCGGACGGACAGTTATATAATTTACAACTGATCAAGACGTGTGCACCAGTGGGCAGAACATATTGAAGTGCACTAGCAAGTGGATGACTGGCAAAGTCTGGAGCATCGAATGAACATGTCTTTGCACCGACTAGATCACCATGCGCCGGAGCATGTGGGGGTGGCCGTTGCCGGATCTGTTTTGCTGGCGCTGCGCTGCATTTCTGGAGATACGTCTCTGTGCAACCGCGAATACGTGCGCTGGTGAGTCCTAAGCCGTACACACATCATCTGGCACCGCCAGAACGACCTCTCGGTTGTGTAGTATATGCAAGCTCAAGCAAGTCAATACATTTGAAGTAATTGGCGGTGTCGTGAGGATGCACCGTGGAGAAGGACCTGCATACCAGGGTCATCAGCAGGCCGCCTGCAGCAATTCGGTCGGGGGCTTCGTCAGCCAAGAACTCATGAACTCCTTCAAAGATATCCTCGCGGTCTTCCGTACCACCATGCTTTTGACAATTTGGACGTCGTTATCGCATGTCATCCTTAGCGTGAGAAGGACTGGAGGCCGGTTTACCCTCATTGTTGCAGTGGTTAGTCTTTGGCCTGTTTCCTCTGCGGCCAGGCTACCTCGGCCTTTCGGCGGGATTTGGAGCGTCACGATCCCAGCACATGCAGCAAGGATCGTCAGGATTCAGGATATACAGGTACGTTAAAAGTATGTGCGTGTGCTGCATGTGCTTAGTTTGTATAATTAGACAGGTACACACGAAACACCAAATACACACTTTTCTTGGTAGCTTGTTTACTTGAGTGCTTCTGTCAGTTGCAATGTCAGCCGACACCCACAGCGTGTTGAGCAGCGCAGAGGCTGTCATTAACATTATCTCCATGCATTTCCGCCTCTGGACGATGCATTAGACATGACCTGCTCTTTGGCTGTGTGTCTCTACGACGTCCCTGACGTTGGCGATCACCACCACCACCACTCCATTGCTGCTCAGAGTGCTTACTGTCATGTTATCGTGGCTGAAGCACCTGCAGAAAGATTGTTAATTGTTGCTCTGGCCACAAACCTCTGTGCACCATTGCAGCAAGCACCAGTAACTCAGAGGCACCAGCGACCAGCGCGATGCTCAAAATTGGAATTGCTGACCTCGCTGCTGGCAGACATTCACCAAGAACAAGTCTGAAGGGTATGCTGTCTGTCTATGGTTGATGTACGGCAGATAGGATTTTTGCTTTATCGGATACGTGTGCGACTGTAGTCTTTTGAAACCAACCTTCGCAGCTATTATGATTCCGGTGTCTGCTCTAGTCTTGTGCTTCTGTTGCTGCTAATGTCGCTAGCATACCCATCACCATTACTTCGATTAAGCTGCCGTTGCTGCAAGTGCCACGACCACCACAACCACTTGCAATGCCATTACCTCAGCTTATGTGTCAAGGTTCTGGGCACGTGTGACGGCACAGCTCCAAGAGCGGCTGGCCGTACCTGCCAACAAGTCCGGGCTGAGACGAGCCGCTCGTCTTGTGGTCATGCTGAACTAGATAAGACACTGCAGTCAGAAGATAGTCTTGACGGCTACTGCAGGTTTTAGAATGCACAGAAGTTGTCTGCGTTCGTAGACTATGTGTATGTATATATATATATATACATATGAAGCTGAAAAGTAAACACTCATATACAAATGCATGCATGCATCTTCGTTCGTACATACATACATACATACAGACAGACAGACGGATGGACAGACGGACGGACAGGACTGACTGCATGCATACAAAAGAACTGTGTGGAGGTGTATGTTCCGCGAAATGGTGATGCACTGGGTAAGCAATCTCCTCAACTGTTTCACTGTTTCACCAGAACCTCGCATGAAGAAGCCAGAGGTGAAGAAAAGAAGGCAGTCCTGCCATTCGAGCATCCCTGTCGATCGTCTGCACAGCACCACAATGAGCAGCAGAGCCTGGCTTAGGGTTTAGGGTTTAAGAGCTTCAGGAACGCGAGTGTAAAGATGGCACGGGTTGCCCAGGGGAAGGTCGTCGGTACCTCTACTTGGAGGATCATGGGACTTAGTAAGTAAGGTTATAAGTACCCTAATTGGGGTTATAATCATAGTTACCTTATTTATAACCCTAGTTACTAAGTCCCATGATCCTCCAAGTAGGGTTTAGGGTTTAGGGTTGCTGCTGTTGATTGCATAGTATTGCATAGGATGCAAGAGATGCCGCGCTGCTTCTTTGTGTCGGAGTCGTCTCCACACCGTTCGAGTTGTCTTGCTTAGGCTGTCGTGCATGCCAACTGTGTTTTCCTGCTGCAATTAAACAGTTACTTGTTTGCTGCTTGCCTTCCGGACATGTCGCATCAGGAATTCCGAGGCATCCTGCGTTGGTTTATTCATTGATCTCATTCATGATTGTAGACTGTAGATAGTCAATGTATCGCCGCCACAGCCGCAACTTGTTGGCCGTGGGCGCCTAGAGCATCTGACTCCAAAGCAGAAAGGTTTCGATCCGTTGAACTTGCTCGCCTTATGAGCAAAATGCAAAAAGCGACACGAGAACTGAAATCGATAGCAACAGCAGACGGCTCCTCGGCTCGTCGAAACCCTGAGCAACCTTTGCCAGCATCGCATGACGACGGATGGATGGTTGTGCCTGGCATGAGAAGGAAACATGTATCGGGAACCTGAGTGCAAGGACAGTTGAGATGGATGTACATGGCAGTTATATTCTGCATGAACCGCTTCCTGATGCCGTTTAAGACTTCACACCTCCCCGCAGCCACATGATTCCGGCAACTTGTCTGCAAGTCCGTCAACACGGGATCTAGCTTCTTTCAAAATTATGCCGAAAGCCCTCAGCCGCCTCAGCATGACACTGTGTGCACCGAGGTGTTGTGCGCCCATGTCAAAGCCCTCTCGCTGCAACACGTCGAGGCACGCAGCAATTGCACTTGTTCTGCTGTGACCGAGTGATCCACCAGACTTGAGTCACAAGCGACTAAGCCGACAGTCGGAGGTTTCAACCTCTGTGCTGGGAATCTGCCCTTTTGTTGAGCTCGTGCCAGGACGCACTGCTAGCAGACGATTGGGCGGCCGGATGTCTTATATGGGAAACCGAGCCGAAAGATTAGCAAAGTCTAGATTTTTTCTTGAGAGATACATTTCCATTTCGACAGCGGGAAATTCATGCTGTTGGTTCGGGCACCCAGGATTACTGGGACAGACATGGCGTCCGGGACTTTAAGACGGAGCCTTGGCACTGGGACACACCGCCCAAGCCGGGTGCCCGAACAACAACCGGGACCCGCAAAGCGGCCATGATAATGCCAGTTCCGCCACAGCCAATGTGCCCAAAGGAGACACGGGTGAGTGTGAGTTATGGCCTTGGGCTTTCACATGATGACCAGGGTCGGGACATTGTCAGGTTGAAATCCTCCGCTGTGTCGCATGATGTCCCATACGGAGACCATTTCAGCGTCGAGGAGAACATTGAGATGGTTCGTGAGGGTGACGGCGTCCTCGTCACGAAATCATTCTCTGCGGATTTCGTCAAACGCACGTTTTTGCGGTCGATGATCGAGTCCAGCATCAAGAACTCACAAAAGGACACTTGCGAGAAGCTCATGAGCGTCCTTCAGAGCTATGCTGAGGATATGTCCCCTGTCAATGTCGGATCGCCGACTTCATGCACTCCAAGACCGAGGTCGTCCAATTCAGGGATCTTCGGTATGATAGACGACGACGAAAGCAGCATGGAGGATGCAGTATCTATTGGCGATGATGGATTCGAGTCGGCTGAAGAAGATCCCGTCATCTCCGCAGCTTTGGCTGGGACGGACGATGATATGGATGGCAGCCTCGTGTCGGCTCTTCCGTCCATAGTTGATTTCCTGGGTGACCTTGGAGACACCATCACAAGCATTGCTGCAAACACGTGGGTCAAGCACAATGCCATCAAATCGGTGGACCTTCGATGTGAGGCCAGTCGGGCGTCGGTGTTGTAGATCCGCATCAACATCACATCCTCTTTGCGACGTGGGGCTGGGGTGTACACAGGGGGGAGCAGCGGTCAAGCCGAAACAGACAAGTGCCCTAAACGGTTTAGGGTTTAGGGTTTAGGTCTTGGGGTGCAGGTCTACCGAACAGGCTGGGAGTCGAAGCAACGTGGTCTCGTTAGGCTCCTCCTGCGGTGTTCCCAGAGAGCCCAATACCCCTTAATTAAGGAATATACCTTCTATCGTAATATTAAGGCCCCTACAATTTAAGGTATATTCCTTATTTACGGGGAATTGGGCTCTTTGGGCTTGCTGCCACTCCTCAAATCAGTGGCTTTTTCCAGCGAAACCTGCCCGTCTCCCAAAACCATGAACCCAGGAAAAACCCGAACGGGAGACAAAAAAACACAGCCTACGTAACTTTGCCTTGCATTCTGAGAACAGAATGTCCAATACCGAAAAAAATGGGGACTTCGAGTTTGTCCAGGTTTAATTTAGGCCAATTTTAGGGTTCCTAAACCCTAAACCGAACCCTAGGGTTCCTACACCCTAAACCTAATTTCAGGGATCCTAACCCCAAAACCGAACCCTAGGGTTCCTAAACCCTAAACCCATGAGCGACCTTAGGGCCCAGGGTACAGAGTCCGGTGGAAATGGTCGCATGTTTCCGCATTTGGCAGCAGCTGCTTGCTTCAAACCTCGGGGATTCGGAGACATCTCCAATTCGGGGACAGTGCACTGGGGGACGGATCTGCACAGTGTCGTCTCTAGGCCGCTTTGATGGCTTGAAACCCTGACCTCCTCTGTAAACCCTTGAACCCTGACCCCTAAATTCAAAAGCCCGAAACCCTATTAAGGCCTGAACCCAAGGCCTTAAACCCCAAAGCCCCAAGGCACTAAACCCCAAAGCGTAGATCTACTCAAATCGTGGCAGGTCTGGGAAGTGCAGAGGCAGGGCACGTAGCTCTCGGCCTGCGCAGCACCGGATGGGTTTTAGGGCTGAGGGTTTTAGAGCTTAAGGGTTTACGGTTGACGGCTTTAGGGTTTAAGGATTTAGGGTTTAGGGTGTAGGGAAGTAAGAATACTATTCCAATACGTATTCCTTATGTTATACCTTGATAGCGTTGGGATTTGGGGTCCAGTGCATGAGTTCCTGCCGGATCCTGCCGGTGAAGTCGGGCAAAGCCATTGAATTGGAGCTGCTAGGAGAACCACGATGTTCCATGAAGATTGGCGAGCTCCCTTCCTTCCACACGATGGGCAGAAGTACCGTGGCTGCAATCCTTGTAATGTAGGGGCCTTAGTCATGAGAATAGGGTTTTGGTGCCCATTATCATTATAATATAGTTATAATAAGGAACCCCCAAAATAGTCTTGGTAATTGGCTCACATTGCCAGATGCTCCGAGCTGGGGCATGAGTCTACAACACTTTGCAGATATATTATTAGATCGCACGGTATTATGATCTGATCTTATCTGGAATTGTGCTGTATTGTACTGTATTATAGTGTAGCATGTTATATTATGTTATATGACATTGTATTACATTAGATGCTGCCATATTATATCATAGTATCTCTTACAGTAGGACAGTAAGTCATCTCGTAGACTTAGATATTATATTGAAGGAGATGGGAAAGCCTCAGCCCCACGCGGGGTGGCTGCTGGGGACGAAGTTGGGTCCAGGCTAGGTGACAAGATGCACTTACTATCCTGCGTTTCACTTGTAAGTTGTCGGTTCCCGCGATAAATGCAGGTCCCTCCAATCTTGGGTCCAGAAACTGCTGGGAATACAACTTAGCTATAGAGCTGGTTGCTGCTGTTTAGAAAAACCAGGGGCCGGAGCGAAAAGCATGGCAGACGTCGAGGTCGCCCGAGAAGCTCCTGGAGCGCGCATGCTCAATTTAGCGATGCATGTGGGAGATTCCGAAAATAATGGGTACCTTATTTTGGGGTCCTGATGGTAAGGATCCTATTATTTAGGGTACTATATTAGGGTCCGCTATTTTCGGAAACCCCCATGTGTCGCAATACACGAATCGCAGCTTCTGACTGGCTGACATTGCATCCCAGGGTTTGACCTGTAGACTTCAATGCTACGAAAACTCGTATCTTCAGATCTTCAAATCGCCGAGAGGTCGCTTTCGTGTACGTTTGCGGTGAAATGCATGACGCGACTCGAGAATGGCAGGAGGTGCGACTGCGAGCATGGGAGAGCAAGGCGACCCCCTCATCCTACGCCGTACGCCCTCTTGCAACATCGTGCCAGTGCTTTGCTCCAGGGTGGCTTGTGGATCAGTGGGGCGGTGACGCAACTTCCGCCTTTGTAAACGACGGTTTATGTCCTTGCCACCTCCCGGCACATCGGCCTTTGCAAGACGCATTCGAGGATGCGCGGTTGCATGTCGCACTGAAGTGCGAGTCAAGTTGCTGTTTTCTGGAATACTGCCGAAGGGGAACGGCTAAGACATCGGCGATTTGCAAGGTGTTCGATCGCGAGACTGGTCCCTCTCTCACCGTGACAAGGATGCGAGAAGCAGCCCATATCCTGGCTTGCCATTGCATCGCAGATGGCCGTTTGTTCACCAGCTTCGTGTCCTTTCAATCTACTTGTGTATGCTTCCTGGTTGTTGGACCCATGGCTGGCTGCCTTCGAAGGACTGCTGAAGCTGCGCGTGCTTCTGAGCACGTTCTGTGCGTGGTTCGGAGTTTTCGGGTTGCGCTCCCCTGTGCTCATCTTGTGCACACTGTTCCATGTCCTTCCTGGCACGACATTTTGCCCGTTGTGCACGCCATTGTGCCGGCTACGCCTGAATCAGCGCAACTGTGTAAGCTGCCGACGATGTCGCTGCGAGGCTGCGAGCGGTTCTCCTTGATGCCGCACCAACGGTGCCTGCTTTGTACGAGATGAAATTCCCGAGAGGGTCGGCGCGGTCACCGCACCTCTCGCGGTCCGGCCAGCACACACGAAAGTGTTAGAGCCGCTCAGTGCTGAGTTCCCGCATTCAGCCGTTTGCCCTGCGCCTGTCTCGCTGCTTTGTGCGACTGACTCCACCGGTGACGACCACCACACTGCATGCCGTAGATCGGGCACACTTGCGACCCGGGCTATCCAATTGGAACCACCCGTCGCACGCTCTGTTGCTTTCGCCCGTTCAAGTCCGTTTGTTTCGCGTTCGCTTTGGCCGGTTCGGGTCGCCAAAATAAACCCGGTTTCAGTAAAGTTGAATGTTCTCGCCGCACGGACCATGGCTCTCTACAGCCGATCATATAGGGTAGGACGCGGCATGCCGGGTTGTTCTGATCTGTACGTCTTGAATTCAAAAGTAGAGATCTGCAATCGTCAATCGAAATCGAGCCTTTGTCTCAAGATTTATTAGATTGATACTGGTGTACCTGCCGGCAACGTGCGGCAGCCGGAATGCATTTCCAGCAATGTCGCTTGCCATGTTTTGGCCGTTGGGTCTCGAGCCCCTGACCTTCGTGTGGTTGCTGCGTCCGCGTGGGTGACATGATGACATGAAGCTCGCGATGAGCGGCGTATTGAGGTTGTCCCTAGCGGCCTGCCGCTTTGGCATGCGAGGTGGTTTCTCCTTCGCACGTCAACGCGAGACACACCCGACGAGATCTTGGTCGTGCACGTCGCTGCCGCCTCGCAACCGCCACATGGCAGTTTGGCGAAGAAGCCGTGCAGCTCTTGCGCCGTTTGGCGCAGCAAAATTTGCAGCCCTTTCTTCGAGCTCCCCCGCAGCTGAACTCGTAGTAGGCCGTGCCGGGCACCGCACAGTAGTCCTGCGGTTTCTGCAGGGGAAATAGAATGTTTCATGGCCCCACGCAAGGCAGTATTCTCAGTTCAGCCTGTTGCACACAAGGTTTCTGCGTGAAATTTAAATTGCGTAGGGCTTGTCGCGGTGCGACAACCGGTATCGTCGAATTTACAACGCTTCCATCCCGAAAACCTCGACCCTTCGAAATTCCAAACCCCCGAGGGCCTTTCTTGAACGCAACAAGAAGCCAAGGTTATAATGGTAACGTTGTCGATTTGGAGTTATCGTGTTTACGGCGCCCCGTGTCGTTTTACAGGCCACTGCTAGCTGTCATTTTCACTGCTAGCTGTCATTTTCGCAAACCGAAACCATACTCTGATTATGCCACCAGCCACTGCAATGTAACTAATTAGTCGCAAAACCCAGTGCCATGCTGCCAGCGTTCACCACATGTTCCCGGAGATTCTTCAACTCTCGTGATTTGATATGATTCTGATGCGTGAAAAATGCGAAAGCATTACGAATCAGGCAGCCCGTGAAAAAGTCATGTTTCTGTCTGGACATTCGCAGTATTATCATCTGCACGTGTCCAACAATACCCTCGTGCGATCTTGTGAGGATTCCTCTGTTGAACTAGCGAAATCGTCGGTGAAAGCCGCTGATGACGACAATGCAGTTCTTTTATGCCAACACTACGAATGGCTGGGTCAATGTTCAGGACCTACACAGAATCGGCGCGGCCACCCAAGTTGGCCACGATCCCGCGAAGGAGGGGCTGCACACCTCCACGACGAAGTCGATGACCACGCCGTGGCCAGTAAAACACGCACACACATGCAAACACCCAAGGAAAATCGGACCGAGGACAGGCGTTCAACCAGTGTTCAACCATTAACTGGACAGCTGCGACGTGTCGTCGCGTCCCAAGCCGTGTATAAGCCAGGAGCTCGTCAATTTCCGCTTTGGGCAGTGCCCCCTGGTTTCGTAGATGGGTTTTTTGGAAATGCAGCTTGCATAATCGTTGAGGATGGTTAAAGCCAGAGCAGGCCGGGCCAAGTGCTGCGCTCGCCGTCCCGAAATTGGGCGAGGAGCTGGGACTGGCCCTGGTGTCAATCTGCAACGTGGGTTGATTCCGAACTGGTGGAACATTTCCTGTACTTGATGCCCTCGGCCAAGGGCGCCCGATGCCGCAACGATGGCCCGTTGAGTGATGTGCTCCCAGGTTGTGTTTCTTTTCTACGGCTGTGCGGTGTCTGAAGGAAACTCGTCGCCAGGCTATCATCCACCAAAGAGTCAGTGCGGAGTGCGCCTGCTGCCTCCTTTGACGCTAGCTGCAGATCCAACTCCCGCCACTGGGGACGTTTGGGGGGCTGTTCTCACTTTGCTCATAAGAGATGAAAAAGTTTCGTTGTGCAGATCCGCTACGTTGAAAGCCGGAGCTTCTTACAAGTGCGAAGGCTCGGAAAAATGATGGTCGTTCATGCGTGCAGGGATACCGCCGAACATGTCCAGCCCAGTCAAGTGTATTATGTGTACTGCCATCGGTCTGTGAAGGGAGGGAGGGGGAGGGAGAGAGAGTGTGGGAGGAAACCCCTGCACCACAGCCCTGGCGAAAGAAAGAAAGAAAAAAAGAGGAGGACTGACTAATTCACCAGCCACTGCAAGAACATGACGACCAAGGGAGGACCCCTTATGGCCTGAACGCTTTTGCCAATGACGGAGAGAAGTGGAGCGTCTTGCGAACAACGACGGCAAGGCACATGGAAGGCCGATGCGGACCGGCTGAACAAGTCCCATGAACGGGAAACACACTGAAATCCCTAACAGGGGCCTTACGTTGCATTTTAATAAGGGTCAACCCCACTCTTTTCCGCTCCATGGGGGATTAAACCTCGGCCAACGTCGATGTGCGGAGGCAAAAAGCTTGCCTCGGCTCCTGGGGGTTGTTCCTCCTTCGCCCCAAACGCTGGCGACTGTGTGTTTGTGTACTGCACCGGCTTGCATGTTTTTCGCCTGACTTCGTTTCGATAGTCTCTTTCTCCAACTTCGTTTAACACCTGGCAGGGTTCCGTTTTTCAACGACGTGCCGCTGGAGCCTCCCTTTTCCCCGAAACCGCGCCCCCTCTTTGGGGCTAAGCGCATGTACATGTAGTTTCATAGTGTACAATAATATTAATTCCTTGGCCGGTGCTTCAGACTTCCACGATGTGTAAACTTCTGCCTTAATTCTTTTTTTTCCGGCACTTATTTTCCGTCTGCAGGACTCAAGCGTCCGAGACTACTCCGCGCTAGACTACACGCCGCACAAAGGCAGCCGACTCGGCCCCGCGAACCTCGGCGAGGTCGAGGATCCGGTCGAGCTCCGGTCCTTGGCTTTGGGTCGCGTGGGGCGGTGCAGGCCAGACTTTGCTGGCTTGCTGTTTCCTTCTGGTTTGTTGATTTCAAGAGGCAGAGATCGTCCTTTGTTGACATTTGCCGACTGAAAAAGTCGCTCCGCAATGGTCGGGGGCGCAAACCCAAAGATGCAAACGTAATTCTGGAACCGTAAGACCCCAAGCCCAGAAGATCCCAGGCGTGTCGGACCCACCCGAAATAGGTCCCGGACTTATTTCCGGCATGCCCTCCGTGGTCCCCCACCCGAGGATTCCAAGTGTGGTGCTTGCGAATGCCGCCACGCGCAAGCGCCGACAGACCTTCCCGGAGCTCCGCACGGCACGCCTGCTGTTTGGTAGGTTTCGGAATTGGGGTTGGGGGCCACTGGGCACTTGAAGCCGCCGACTTGATTCGTTTGCACGCATGTGCGCGCGCGCGCACTCTTCGGCCCGCTGCCCGAGCTGCTTGGGTCCTGCGTCGGGGCGGCATCATTGCCGTCCCTGCGCAGCGCAAGCTAACCGCCTTTATTTTTCACTTCCCTGTCGCCAACGAGTGCAATGGTGGGTGTGCGGAACCCGCTTTGCACGAATTTTCGGCTGACGGGCGCTGGCACGAAGCGCCGGAGTGCCGTCGCATGCATGGCGGTGGTGTGTATGAACAGTTCCGTATAGGGTTTTTTTGCACGGCACGGGGACCGCGCGTGTTGAGACGGCTGCACGATCAACCTTCAAGTGTGTGACGCCCTCTGCGTGGTCTTCTCCGTCGGAACGTGTCACCGACAATTCGTTAACTTAGCCGCTGAGTGGCTGAACTTTGAACTTTATTTCTGGAGTGTTGTGTTTTGGGGATAAAATGAGCTAGTATGCTTACGAAGCCATAGCGGCTCGTTGTTGGGTCCACCATTGCAATCCCCAGCCCCTAACGCACAAATCGAGAAATGGGTAGTGGTAACTTTTTCCATCATCTTCATCATCCTCATCCTTTTCATCTTGTTCATCATCTTCATTAACTGGTCCTTGTACCCTCCTTCTTCCCTGTAACCCTGCCCCCCCCACCTTGCCTCCCTCCCCATACCCGTCCCCTGCCCCCTGCCCGCCTGCCCCCATCCCCTCCCCCCACCCACACTCCCTCCCCGTCTCTCCCCCTCTCCCCACCCTCAACCCTTCCCCCTTCCCCTCCCATCTCCTTTCACTTACCAATCCCAAAATCACAGATGGCAAGGGCTACAATTTTTTGTATACAATAGACTCCAAAATTACAGCACGATGCCTTGCACGAGGCACAGGGAGGGCTCCAGGCGGGCGAGTTTTTGGCAGCGTTTTTGGACGACCTCTACCTCGTCACGACCCCGCCTCGCGCCCGAGCCGCCCTCGACGACGTCACACGAATCGTCGAGGCGCGAGCCGGAGTGTCGGCCAACCTGGGCAACACGCGCGTGTACCGCGCGGCCGGA